CTAGGTGACTTTGTCACTGGGCTACACTCGCGGAACCTCTTTATTGATTAGCCCACCTAGGCTTTTGTTTGGTGTGATGCAGCAATATTTCCCATGAGACTGCTCAAGAAACTAGATATGGAATTAGTACATCAGATCTCACAGCATAGACTGGTGGTATGGGGACAGGGATCTGTAGCTGAAAAAATAAAATAGGGGTTTGCATATGTCTTCTAGCTAATTCTGACTAGAAAGAGTTAAAAGACAAACTTTACTGAGAGATTCCCCTGGGAAGCCAGTTAAAGATGGGGTAGGAAAAACAAAACAAAGCAAACAGATAAAGAAAGGCACCAAACAGCCTGGGAACTTGCACCGAGAGACCAGAACAAGAGAACACAGATAAGACACAGAGAAAAAGCCAGGTACACAAACAATAAGCCACCCCCATCTCCAATGAACTAAAAGGGAAGCAAAGGGAGGTGACTCACTTTAAGCTAGTATGTACTCACACCTATGCTCTGACATATCCTCTTCTATACAAGTGTATTCACTCTAGAGTCACTATATTATGTACTCTATGGTCATTATAGAGTACAATAGATATCCACATGCCCTCTACTAACTCTAAGCTAGCCAAAAATAAGGCCCCCCCTTACTAACTAGCTGCCCACTCCAAAGATGAGGCCTGAAAATTCTTGTCAAGGACAAGTAAACAGGCAGAAAGAAGCTGCACATAGACCACCTGAAGAAATGACTTTAGGCAGAAGTGCTCAGAAGCCAATCCAGTTCTGGCAAGTTCTGGGTGGAGGGGAAAGAGTCACTCACCCCCAGGCCCACATAAAGACAGCTGAGAACAAAGGCCCTACGAGTCCTCCATCTTTTCCCCTACTGATTCTTTCTTATCAGGGCAGCTGTGTATCTTCTCCTGTCTCCCTCCTTTCCTCTTTACAAATAAAGTGTCTTCCTCTTGTCAAACTTTGTCCCTCTAATTTATTACTGGGGCTGAGTTACAATCCAGGTGGGCTGCTCGGACAACACAGCAGCAGTCCTCATCCCCCAGATGCAACAGTAGGCGGCTTCATCAATATAATCTTCAGCAAGGCTATTTGGATTTCAATCATCAGACTAATCAGATACGATTGAAATATATAGTGAATGTTTAAATTTAAAAATTTTATTACACTAAGAGACACATTGTGATCAATCCCCTTCGAGATACTCTCCCTTGCTTCACACACACTTATTCCTCATTCTTGGTACTTTCTGAAGTTCTGGAGGTACTATTTCTTAAGTGTCTTTACACGACATGATTGAAAAATGCAGGGACTCTTGTTGCTGAGTGTCCTCCAATTGAAAGGAAGAAGGTCCTCATTCCTAAAAAACATTGCGATGTGTCCTCTCTACGTATTTCACCAGATCTGGTACCACATGACTTCTGGCTCCTCCCCACAGTCAAAATGACCATGAAAGGTAAACATTTTAAGTCAGTTCAGGATGTTGGGGCACCGAGTAACTAAAGACATGCAAGAAAGAGGACTTTCAGAACTGCTTCAGTCGGGGGCTGGGGATTTAGCTCAGTGGCAAAAGCGCCTGCCTGGCAAGTGCAAGGTCGTGAGTTCGGTTCCTGGTACCAGAGAAAAACCAAAACCAAAACCAAAAAAAAAAAAAAAAACAGAACTGCTTCAGTCGGTAGCAAGAATGAGGGATAAGTGTGTGCGAAGGAGCGTATTTTGAGGGGGATTGATGGCAATGTGTCTTTTAGTGTAATACATTTAAAAAATTTAAACATTCTCCATATTTTTTGATCACATCTTGCGTCTTAAACTTCACAAGGAAAATATTCACAAAGCAGCAGAATATAATCTTTACTCAAATAATCTAGAACACCATAAAGCCTCAGTGTTTATGTAGTTAATATTTTAGAATATCACAGCATATACAAGCTAACTTAAATTTAATGTTTCCTCTGAACACTGGGCTAAATCCTTCACATAGATTATTTTATTCCCCATATGACTCTGTTCAGGAAGTACTGTTCTCATGCTCATTTGGAGGAAGCTAAAATGAAGGCCTAGAGTGGTAGGTAACTTGCTTGAGGTCACATAGATGAAAGGAATTACAGCTAAAATTTGAATCCAAGTGCTTTGGACCCAGAATTTGTGCATTTAACCACTTCTGATCTCTCCTAGTGCATCATGTTAAACAAGTACAGGAAAAATATGGAATTGGAGCCAGGAACTTCAAAAGTGGCAGGAATCTAGGCTCTGTTCTAGCTCATATGCTCTGTGGCTACACTCTTTACTGTGGTTTCTTTATTCATTTTTTCTCTCTGCAGTTTAGTTTCTTCAGACTCTTTTTGAATGCAGTTGAAAAGTTCTATCTTGGTAGACATATGCAGGCCTTATCTGTACTTCAGGACTTTCAGGAAATAAATTGGGAGCATGAGTTCCAATTTTAAATTCTAACACATAAAGAACAAGATAGGCCCACAGTTATAGTCAGAGAGATAGGATCTCTCTCTCTCTCTCTCTCTCAATATATATATATATATATATATATATATATACATATTCAGAAAGATAGAGTCTCAGTCTCTCTCTCTCTCTCTCTCTCTCTCTCTCTCTATATATATATATATATATATATATATATGGCTTTGGGGCCCCCCAGCTATGGGTAGGTCAAGGGTATGATATATAAAAATGTGGCTAGCATATATAAAAATGTTTGTCACATCTATCTCAATCATGGTATTGTATACAGGGAAGATCACTCATGATACTAATCTTGAATGGATACAATGTGGGAGAAGTCATGTGCTATGGATTTAACTCTGTCCTTCTAAAATTCACTTGTTAAAGCCATAATCCCAAATGTGACTGAATTTGAGGATAAGGATTTTAAGGGGTGGTTAAATGAGATCATAAATTTGGGGTTGTAATCCAATATTACTGTTGTCTTTATGAAAAGAAAAATATTAAGTCCATGCTCACACAAAAAACATGCCATTTGAGGACACGGAGAAGATGGGTATCCACAAGCCAAGTAGAGTGGCCTCAGAAGAATCCTAACCTGCTGATGGACTCCTTGATCTGGGACTTTTAGCCTTCATAGCCACGCATCTGTCTGTCTGCCTGTCTCTCTCTCTCTTGCTTTGTGTTTAACTTTTATGTTGCTTAAACTACCCTTTCCATGGTAGTTTCTTTTGGCAGACCTAGTAAACTAATCTACAACTTTTGTGCCTTTCGATCTACAAGATTGTAAAAGAAGAGTACTGCAAATGAAGATCTTTGCAAGATTTTCTATCTAAGGTTCAAGTACTTAAGCTTGAGTTTAATGTTGGGACTGGATGAAGTATCCGTGCTATCAATTAACAGTAATATCATTTGAGAAATTTGGGGTACAATCTATTTTGTTAAGAAGGAGAAAGATTCTATGGTCTGAATCCAGTATATATTTCTTTGAATTTTGAATCTGTCAATGCAGAGAACACTTTATGACAAACTGCTGTTAACTTAACATTGCATGTAAAAATTATCTAAATTTTGGTCCCAGTTGTGTCCTCTGATTTTTTTTTCTTTATTTGGTCTAAAAAGAAGGTCAGCACAACTGAGTCCAGTTCTCTAGATATGAAGAGGTAGTCAAGAACAGTTTTTATTACTGCAGCTGAAATTACATTAGCTTTTTGGTAGTCATTTTTTGCAGCAGTCTATCAGAATCTCTTCTGAGAAAGTTATTCTTTTATGTCTGTCCACAGAAATAGCTGCGGTGTTCTCTGTCCTAGCTTTGTAATAATTTATTTATTAGTCTGTTTCATTTGGCTTGAAGCACCTTGAAAGGACTATGTTATCTCTGAAACTTCAGTATCTAATACAATGTCTAGATCATAGACAGGACTGTCATAAATTTGATGAATTAAATGAATGATAAAATTCTTTTGAAAAAATTGAAATGTTAAGAAACAAAGTTATGCCTCTGCATGCCTATGGGGCAATTCTATGGCTCTTCTGAAATGATCTTAATCTTTGTGTCAGGTGGGGTGTATTCTAGAGTAAGAATTTAAGCAAGTAGCTTGAAGATAGATTCAAATACATAGGTAGGTCTTTGGAATTAGTTTTATGATCAAACTGGATGTGGAATAGACTTTATATCTAGTGTTGGCCAGAAAAGTTAGAATGATTCTGCTGTATCAAATATGAGTGCTAAAATTTATGAGCGAGAAAGTGAGAGAGAAAGAGAGAGAGAGAGAGAGAGAGAGAGAGAGAGAGAGAGAGAGAGAGAGAGAGAGATTTTTTAAAAGTGAAATTTAAAAATGTTAGGGTCCTTTGTTTTTTAGGTAACCAGAAAAACTTTCGCAGATAAGTTAAAATTTGATTTTAGCCTGAGGGGTCAGTGACCATTTTGGCAGACTAGAAGGAAAGGACTATCCACGTGACTAATTTCTAACTCTTAGCTTTCCAAAGCTCAGTTTTTTGTTGAGATTTTTATTACCTCTTTAGAACTGAAACCAACTTCGGCGGAGTTCATTGGAAAATATTTCTTTCATGTTCTAAAATGAACCAGGGAGTGACACCTTGGAGGTGGAAGCAGTGCTGAATTGACAGCTTCGCACTTGCTTTGTTTGCCATGAATAAAACATACACTCTTAGGCAGGTCACTTGGTCTTTCCAGGCCTAAAAGTTTTGACTAGGTAATCATCTGTGCTCTCCTCCAGTGCTAAGAATTTGGGTCTTTGGAGCACGACATTGGTGCTTGATATTCAGAGGCGTTTCACTTCACTGGTGGATTCTCAAGGAATAAAGTTACAGTTAGGGTCAAGGAAGCATTAGAATTCACTTTCTCCTTGGCATTTGCCTCCCTCACAACTACACCTACTAGCCCTTTAAGAAAAAAGAAAGAGCGCAGGGCAAGAGGGCGCAGACCAAGGCCCTAGCGCCTGCTAAATCACCTTCTTCCGGGAGAGTTACTCGGCGGGCTGTCGCATGGCATCTTGGGACGTGCAGTTTTTCTCGGACCGCGCCCCTTGATATTTTCTTGCTCTTGAGAGGAGATGGACTACGACTCCCAGAGGGCCGAGCGACAGCAGCGCGTCCTTCCCTCCCGCCGCGGCTGGGCGGCTAGTTCAAGTTGCCATAGCTGCGAGTGTGCGGAGTGCCGAGTCGGTTGCGCCGCTGCGTTTGGTCAGTTGCACCTTCTGGGTCTGCGGTAGCCGCGGGAGCCAGGTGGGGCCTCGGCGATGATCCGGCTTTAAGGACCTGGCGTCGTCTTCTGTGTCAGGTACCTACCTCTACTTCCCTATCTTATCGTGGACATAGGTCCCACTTCCCCTTGTCCCAGGGCTGGGACACCAGAGCTGCGCGTGGGGCCCTGGGTGGGGAAAGTGTGTGTCCAGGTCGCGGGAGACAGCATGTCCGATTCGGTCCCTCGGCATGGTTGTTCTCAGGCGGGTCCTGGGCAAATTACCCCGTGAATTTGGACACCGTGGTCCTCCTTTTGGGGAGAGCTGGCCACCAGCCCCTGTGGCGCTTTAGCTGTCGAGGAGATTGGACTCTTCCTGTAGGTCTTCCAGAGAGCCTTGTGGCATTTGCTTGCCTGTACCGGGATATAAATTGGGGTATTCTGTACCTGTTCTGAAGTCACAGAAAGCTTGCAACTCCGGGAATGTTGTATCAGTCACCTGTTTTTCCTGTGCCAGCACAGCGTTTGCCTAACCTTAGCTGTCAGTTCCTTACTTGTATTATTTGCAGAAGTACCTGATATTGAATCCAGCCACATTCTTTCTTTACTGGTTTGATAGCCTTCATCTCTTAGTCAGACATCCAGTGAAACCGAGTAACTGTACCTTGCAGCTTTGATCTAAGTATTATGTAGAGTGTCTTACACTTGCCTCCTATACACCCACAGCTACTGGCCCTTTAACACTGCTGCAGTTGCTCAGTATTTGTCACTCTGTCAAAATTTATTTTATTATGTAGAACAGTGTTATCCAATAGAAACATAATGTGAGCCACACAGGTAATTTAGAATTTTGTGCTATCCACAATAAGAAACTGGTGAAATTAATTTTAGTGTTCCGCGCAATATATTAAGAATGCATCCAACATGCAGTAAAATATAAAACCTAGAGGTGTTTTAATTCTTTTTTTTAAATGGTACTGTCTTCAAAATCTCATGTGTATTACCCATTTATAACACATATCAGTTTGAACTGCCCATATTTCTAGGACTTAGTCGCCACAGGCTAGTGAGTACTGTATTGGGCAGCACAGAGAGAAGATGGAAACTTTTGACACTTTTACGTTGTCCCTGAGAAATTTCATTTTGTCTCTGACCCATCTCGGGGTGAAGGTTGATGCTTTGGTAGAAGAGTGAAGTGTATACCACCCTGTACCTCTCAGTGTGTCTTTCCTGCCATTGCATAAAGGCAATGTCTCAATAGTTTATTTTGATTAATTTTACAGAATACCTTCTTTCTAGAAATGCTTTGTTGATATACCAGATCTGCTCTCAATGTGGATAACCACAATTGTCCTAGATGAATGTCTGTGCATTCTTACAGACTATTTTGAAAACAGCCACAAAGAAGTGAAAATATTTCTGCCCACAGCTCTTACCCGAAACCAAAGATATTTTACCTTTTTTATTTTCAATACCAAGTGCAAGAAGAGCATATAAAATATTCCTCTTAAGAGGCTTAGGGTGTCTTACAAATACAGGTGGGCCATAAATTCAGACATTAAATATGAACTCATTACATAGTTTAGTAATGGGTTGATGTGCTTGGACAATACTTTTGACCAGATTTAAGCTAAAATTTACATTATACTGTAGCAAGGTCAACAGGTGACTGGCATGCTTAAAAGACTGTGAGGAATATGATGGCTGGGGACTAAAATGTGAAGAATTCTAGTGGTTTCACCTGGGCTCTTGGGTGACTGTAGACACATTTTCTCTGATCTGCAATTTGCTGTAATCTTTACAAAGGGAAATTGAGCTAATCTTCATTTTTTAATTAAAAAATTAAAGTTATAAGTATGTTTTACTTCCCTGTTTCATTTATCTGTAGGTGGTTTGGGGAAGGTGTAGGGGCAACCAAAGATCATCTACTTGACTAGACTTCTTGCCCTGAATCTCATGAAGAAATGAAAAGAGGCAGGTACATGTTCCTAAGAAAAGCGCTGAGCTCAGGGGAGAGCAACACGGAGTTTTGGGGGTGTGCTTTGTAAGTATGCATTCTTCCTGAGTTTCATTTGTGAGATAACAAATAGTTGCATATTTATAGTGGAAAACACTGATGCTCAACAAATAGATGTTTTGGGAGCAAGAAGCTCCTTTCTAATATGTAGTATAAACAAACAAATACATACCTTGGCATGGTTGTGCATGCAATGTTAGAAAAATTCATATGAAAAATAGGTAAGTGAAATATGTTTATAGTCTTAACAAAAGCATCAATAATGCAGTGTTTTTATTAGACAAGTATTTGAGAACCTATTTTGTCCTACCTTTAGCCAGGTATTATATATAATTCTTTTAGTTTTCTTCATTTTGCAAAGGGTGCACTTAGACTCAGGTAGGTTGTTTGATTTGCTTGGAATTGTGCAGCCAAGAGACTTTGTTATTTCCAAGTCTTCTAATTTCAGATCCACCACTTATAGTTTTCCTCGCATAGGATTTGACCCACACTCAGCATTTTTGTACCATGGGCAGGTTTACTTTTGTTCATTTCTTTAAATGTTTGAAGGGTTTTACTATTTTTCTTAGTTCTTAAAAATATAATATTTTTTGCTATTAGTGTAAGAATGTTATGACTTGTGACTTTCATAAAATGAGCATATTCAACATGAATTATTGATAATGGTATAGTGTTAATGACTTAAATTTTGCAACAGATGTAAAATTCTGGACCTTTTTTAGCATTTCATGTTGGATTTTGATAGATCAAAGACACATATATTTAGGGAGACACACTGAGGGCTTGCAATAATTTTGTATCCAAAATCTCTGGTGTGTAAAATTCTTCGAATTAAAGAATTTTAGAGCTGGAGAGCTTAGTAGGATAATGCATTTCAGAAATTCTCAAATATACAGTGTTGACATATTTGAAAGTAATATAAAAATGGTACATTCACAGTTATCTCTGTAATAATGTCACTGGGCTAAGTGTAATATGAAGTAATTTTAATTTTAATGTCATACTATTTTACAGTACATTTTTCTTTTTTATAACCATGTATCATTACATGTCAGTACATAAAATTATACCTTTGGTGGCACATGCCACACTTGGGAGGCTGAGATGGGAGGATCACCACAGATTTGAGGCAGCCTGGGCTACATAATGAGTTCAAGGCCAGCCTGAACTACATAGCAAGACCCTGTCTCAAAAACAAAAAAACAAACCAAAAACCCCAAAAAGAAAATAAATAGAAAAATTGTACTTTGTTTCTTTTAATTGCTACATCATAGTCTAGTGATTAGATGCATTTAAGATATGCCGTATCAGTTAATTTATGTTTTTTTCTTATTTAATAATTCTGTACTGAAATTCTTATATGCATTCACACATAACATACATATATCTCCTTTTGTTTCCCCAGAATAGTATTCTTAGAAGTAGAATTTCTGAGTCAAAACATATGTCTTATTTTCACTTGTATTTTCAAGTTATTTTCCAAAAAATGTGTCCTAGTTTTTATAGCTAATACTTGTACAATGAAGTATGCTCCTACCAACCCTGGGAATGAGAGGTTTGCTTTCATCTGTGTAAGAAAGATAAACAAGAATATAATTTTATTTTAATTTGGAATTCTTTAGTGATATAAAATATGTTTATACATCTGTCAGGGCCATTTGTATTCTGTAAATTACCTGCTTATATATCCTTGGTGGCTTTTACCACAAGACTGTTCTTTTTGTAGTGTTTTAAAAAAAGCTGATTAATCCTTTGTATCTCATATACTATAAATATTTTTCTAAGTTTTCCATGTAGTTTTACATCTTGTTATTGGTAATTATGAGTAAGACATTTATCAAGTCTTTACATATATTCATATCTCTCTGAAATTCATATTACCTTTAACACAGATCTATACAGTGCCTTAACAGATGTATACAGTGCTGATATGGTACTTAGAGTGTTTGGAGATGCAAGTATTTGTGGTAACCTGAATCCACTTCACTGGTGAACATTAGAATCTACTCTGTGTACAGGATTTTTCATGAAACAGATGCTTATACATGAATGAGTACTGGTGCATAAATAAGCCCATAATGAATGGATGAGTGAATTAAAGCTAAGCCTGAGCTAGTCTTTTCTAAATAAATAGAGACATGGTAGGAGAAATGAACTATGATTAATATATTTAATTTTTTTGCAGAATTGGGGATTAAACTCAGGGCCTCACATGCACTAGACAAATGCTCTACTGTCCATCCCCAGTCCCTGTGATTATTACTTTAAGGAATGAATAGTCAGTTTTATAGATGATAGAAAGCAGAAAAACCTCGGTGGTAGGAAAGTGAAAGCTTTCAAATGGCAAAACTGGCTTGCCTATGAGTAGCAGTTGGTCTGTAGCAACAATACAGATAACAGACCCAAATGATGAAAAGCCTAGGTAATTTGGAGTTTATTTATCTTTATAGTACAGATAAATAGTAATCAAGGAATGCAGGTAGTTACAAATAAGTCATAAATTAAAATGGTTCACAATAATGCAATAAATTCTTAGGTTTGATTTAATCATTAATAAGTTTTAAAACATGTTTTGAAATGTTTACCTCATTTACCTTATAAGACACATTGTTAAGTATTCATATTTATAATATTTTGCAACTCAATCTGTATTGTTTGAAAACTTTATGTAATTAATCTAGGCCATTTGTCAACAGAATTTCTTCATACAACAATTACTTAATTAGTACTTGCTATTTGTAAAGCCCAGCACTTTGAAATTTGTTTCTGGATTAATCATACAGGATAATAAATCAGTTGTAAATTCATTTAAGAATGTTTTAGTTACATGTCAGGCAGTATGCTAGATGTGATGCAAATGTGTTGTAGTCCTTTTGTTTGGCTGTAAGAGGATCCCTGTCACTGGGTGATTTATAAAGGAGGGAGGTTCATTTGGCTCACAGTTTTGGTGGCGCGATAGTCCAAACAGCATTGTACCATTGTCTGCTTAGGACCTCACTGGCTGTGTTGCAGCCTGGTGGAAATGAATGGGGTGGGGGAGGTCAAGAGAGGAAGTGAGAGAGTGAGCTGGGAAAGCAAACTTGGCAAGTGATAGCATGTCACTCCCATGACAGCCAGTCCAATGCTGCAGGACTTAGCCCACTCTTGGGAAAGCAAACTTGGCAAGCCAGTCCAATGCTGCAGGACTTAGCCCACTCTTAGACTCCAGCATTAATCCCTCTTGAGGGTGGTGGCCTCTTCTGTTAGTCCCTGCCTCTTAAAGTTGCCCCCACCTCAGCACATCACTACAATGAGGACCAAGCTTCCTGCATGTACATCTTTGGAGGACAAACCACATGCAGATCATAGGAGGCCATGAATAAAATACATAGTCTCTAATAGGATTTAGAGTCTAGTGGGTAGACAGACAAGTGCATAGTGTGGGAAACCAGCCGACTGGAGGACGAACAGGATAAAAGCCAGAGACGAGAGTTAGTTTAGAACGCACGGGGCCATGGGGTTCTTACCTCCAGTGGACGGAGAGCTCTGAGCAGCTGGCTCACCCTGCCATTTTCACTCAGACATGGGAACAAGCAATTAGAGTAACAGGAGATTTCACCTGCCTCTTGCCCTGCATAGTACCTGTCTGGGTAAAGAACTGGGTCTCAGGTGTGTTGACCTTTCCCTAGAACCTACAACATGCCGTTGTGCCTGCATGATGCTTTTGTCCTTTATGCTCACAGAGGAAGTCAATTAGGCCTCAATTCTCATTCTCTGGTCTCCCATAAAATAGGCAGTTATCAATCCCTGTGCTGTGATGTTGTATCCACTGTGAGAATTCAGCAGAGTGTACATGACCCAGAGTTATGGCAGGGCAGTGGAAAGGGAAAAATTTCTAGGAAAATTCTCTTCTGAATTTAGACATGAAGGAAAAGTAGGAGTTGATCAAGGGAAAATGTGACAAGTATATTGTAGGTGGTAAGTGCAGTGTAGGCCTGCAGGTGAGATGAGTGTGTCTTGTTTGGGGAACTGAAAACAAAAATTCCATGGCAGAAATAATTATATTTGATGGATATGTTCAATTAGTGTTTCGCTACAGTTATGGAGCTATAAGAATGCAGAGGGAGGATAATTCACTTCTGGCTGGAGATGGAAAGCTTCCCTGAGTTTGTGTTTAAGCTATGCCTGCAAGGATAAGCAAAATTTTAAATGAGAGGCAGCAGTAGATAGGAAAAGGCTTTCTGATGTTACTGAGAGATGGCAACATAGGAGAATAGCTAGTATAACAGCAGAATGTAGGCCTGGTAGTTTCATTTTAAAGATATGGGTGGCTCACTGGGTTCTGAATTGTGAATTTGGGAACCTAGAGTCAATTATGTAGGCAGTAGAGTGTTAATGAAGGGTGGGAAGGTTGAGAAAACACGTGGAGTTAGGGAGCCATTTTTATGACTAGGCATAAGTGAAGAAGAATCCTGAAGTATGAACGGTGCCAGTGGAGATGAGAAGTTAGGAACCTGGGCCTTGAGACACTGAAGAATCAGCACTGCCGCTTGGTAGCTGTGTAAACTTGAACACCCTACTTAGTTTCTCTAGGCTAGCAACTGCAAACCTTGTAGTGCTTTTGGTGGTAATAAACAGCTGCTGTGGCACTCCTGCCCTAGTTTTGCCACTACTGCTCTAGGCCTTTTTTCTCATGTCTATATTTTGAGAGCCATGGTACTCAGCTTGTAGGGTTATTATCATACAGTCATTGGTGATGTTTAAGCATTAGGAATTCAACAGTACTGCTTTTGAAGGTTTTTAGAGTTGAGTTCTTAACTAGGTTCTATTCCATGTACCTCAGAAATTCAGTTTTAAAATATAATTGGTTTTAAATGATACTGAACTGTATTTCATTACTACTAGATTCAATTCTGTCTTATTACTTTTCTGTCATTGCTGGGATAAAATACCTGACACCCAAAATTAAAGTTGGAAGGGTTTATTCAGCTGTTTTTGGAGGTTTCAGTCCTGGCTCCATGACAGGGTGGTGTGACAGAGGGGCAGCA